TACCCCCTCTTCTCCTCCACCTTCTCCTCCCCTTTCTGCTTCCAGTCTTTCTGCTCCTCCTCCTTTCCGTCTCCTCTCGCCTGTGCCTTATCATCCTCTACCTTCTAGTCTTTTACTCTTCTATCACTGTGGTGCCTGCGCCATGAGCATGTATAACATATCGGGAGAAAGCCTGGAGATTTAAATGAAAGACAATATATCTAGCCATTTGTGCTAAGAGAGTGTCTGTGTGAGTGTGCGAGCGAGCGTGCGTGCGTGCGTGCATGCGTGTGTGTGTGTGTGTGTGTGTGTGTGTGTGTGTCACAAGGAGGGAGCAGCCTTATATACAGACTTACAGCACAGTGAAGAAACTCCAGGTGTAAGGGTTTATGTTTTTATAATTAGAGGTTGATGTCAGTGGGACAAGTGTGGGGCTGTAAGCCAGGACTAGAAAACAGGATGCACTGTGGTTGTTGGCTGACAGTCAACTCACAGAGACCCCATGGAGGCTGACACTCAACATATCACTCCTTTTTCTTTCCATTATCCTCCTTCCCCTATTTTTATTCCTCCCCCTTCCTTCTCCCCCTTTCTCTATCCCTCTCTCTCCTTTTCCTTCTCCTCTCCTCTCCTTCATCTTCAGTTCCTCGTTTTATTCTCACCTCCCCTCCTCTCCTCTCCTCTCCTTATCCCTCGCCTTCTTATCTTCCTCCCCCTTCTCCTCCCTCAACTCTTCCTCCTCTTCCTTCTCCATCCTTCTCTTCCCTCATTTCTTATTCCTCTCCCTTTCTCCTCCCTCACCTTCTCTTCTTCCTCTCCTCTCTCTACTCTTCCTCCCCTTCCCTCTTGCCTTCTCCACCCCGCCCTTCTCTCTATTTCTTGCTTCTCTCTCTTCCTATTCTTCTCTTCCTAACTCATCCTCTCCTGTTCTTCCTCCTCCCTCTTCTCCTCCTCCAACTCCTTATGCCCCTCTTCCTCCTTTCTCTTCATTCCCTCCTTCCTTCTCCCCTCCTCTGCCTTTTCTTCTTTTTCCCTTTCTTCTTCCCCTCCTCAACTATTCCTCCTCCTTCTCCCTGCTCCTTCCCCATCTAGTCTTCCTCCTCCCCTCCTTTACCCTTCCCCCTCCTCCATCTCCTCTCCTCTTTCTTTCTCCCCTCCTCTTCTTCTACAACCATTCCTCTCCCCCCCTCTCTAACTCTCCCTCCTCCCTCTTCTTCTCCCCTCTCCAGCTCCCTCTCTTCCCTTTCCCTTTGCACACTTCCTTCCTTTCCTTCTCCTCAATCCCTCCTCCTTTCATGGTTGAAACTAAGGAGTGAACCAGTGCCTGCTTAGCAATCATCTTCAATCATTTTTACATGTCAAAAGAATTTTACATTTTTAACTATATGCATGCATGTGTTTGTGGTATATCCATTATGTTGATCATTTGGCAGTAGTAATGAGGGCGTTATATCATGTATATGAACAGCTAGTAGACACTCATGACGTGGAGGGGATAGAAGCACCAACATTCAAGCAATCTTGTCAGATAAGCAACACACAATCTTTAGTGAACATTATTTTATTGAAATACTGGTTAAATGTCATTAAATATCTATATTTCTATTCACAAAAATACTAAGCTGAAATACTAAGCCATGTTGTACCTTGATACTTTTCAAGAACATCAAATACAAAATGAAAACAACAAACACAGAAATGTTTACTTGTCTAGGTCATAATAGAGTGGTCAAAAGATCCTCAAAGGGCTTGAAAACAATATGCGACAGAAGCCATTTTGTAATTGCTGGCTGTAAACAGAGAAGAGGAATTCTCTGATAGGTAATTAAAGAAATCTTGCATATAACTGGACACTAACATTAGACTGCACCTATTAAGGGAAAAATGGGTCAATGCACTGCCAATATTCACAAATAATCGCAGGAGGTGTGACGCCCCATAAATCTGAGACATTGGAAGATCTGGGTAAGCCAGGAGGATTTCAGCATACTGGGGTTTTTCAAACTGGCAGAGGAGCTTGGTGCCCAGCATCCTGTTGAAATACTCTCTTATTCCATACACAAGTTCATCAACAGAATATTCCCCATTATCAGACTTTCCCTGTGATTTCACGAAGTTGACATAGTTTTCGAGAATGTGATCTACATTCTTTTCAGCAGGGAGTTGGAATAACTGCTTGTGCGTGTTTACCAAGTCCAAGTCCTCAACAATGCATGCTTTTAGTTCTCGAGGCAACTCCAATTCAACTCCCATTCTCATATTCACTGCCTGGATACGCTGTCCAGTGGTGACAGCCCCAGCCACATTCTGGTGAGTGGCCTGGGGTACTTGGCTGGTAGCACTGCCAGTGCTGCTTTCTGGAGCATCCTGTGTGCTCTTGGGCACTGGCACCGCAGGCATGGATCCTGAAGAGGGTGTCCCTACAGGAAAGTCTTTCTCCATGAAGTGATGACCTTCCTCCACTGAGCACCCATTCTTGCCTGTGTTACTTTCCTCATGAGTGTAGCTGTCATGAATCTCAACACTCTCACGAGAACCAAATTTCTTTTCCACTCTCCCTTTCTTGACAGAGAGCTGTCTCTTTTTCTTAGTAAGGTGGCCTCTCTCCCCATAGTGAGCTTTCTCTGCAGAATGGATACTCTTGGAAGACGGGTTTTTCTCTGCAGGACGACTCTTTTAGGAGGGCAACTGCTCTCAGCAGATAGACGTTTCTCTGCACAGAGGCTTTTCTTTGGAAGCCTACCTCTCTCTGTGGGGAGATTTTGTCCTGCAGTGTGTCCCCTATCTGCTGACTGACCCTCCTCTGCAGGGCTGTTTTTCCTCAGAGGGTGACTTCTCCCCGTGGGGTGATCTTTCCCTGTGGAAGGTCTTTTCTCCACAGTGTCACCTCTTTCCACTGAGCCACCCTCCATTGCAGGGCAACTTTGGATGCAGTGACCTCTCCCTGTAGGGGTATCTTCACCTGCAAAGAGTCTGCTCTGTGCCAAGTAAACCCATTCGATTGAGCGACCCTCCTGTGCAGGGTGGCTTTTGATGGGGTGGCCTCTCCCTGGAGATCCACTCTTGTTTGCTGACCAACCCTTCTCTGCCAGGTGACTTTTGTTGGCAGGCCAACCTCGCCCTACAGGGTGGTCTTCCTCAGTGGAGAGTTCTCTCTTCACAGAACGCTCTCCATCTATCCAGCGATCTCTCTGAGTACAGCTAAGTTTCTTCGCTGAGCTGTCTTTCTCTTCATGGTGATGATTTCCCACAGAGGGTCCTCTCCCGTCCAAGTAACCTTTCTCAGGAGATGGACTCTTCTTAGTAGAAAAACCTTTCTTTGCAGGTTGATCTCTCTCAGGAGTGTGGCCTCTCTCTTCATAGGGACCTCTCTCACCCAAACCACCTTCCTCTGTAGAACGATCTTTGTCTGTAAGACGTCTTTTCTTGTACAGGCAACCTCTCTGTGTAGGGAGATCTTTCTCAGCCGAGAGATGCTTCTCGAAACAGCAACTTTTCTCAAAACGGTGACGACTCTTCTCAGAGAATTGCTTCATGAACTGGTGTCTCCTGTCACAGGGTCCTTTTTTAGTAGCAGGACATTTTTCATCATCGCAAGGTCTTTTTTAGTAGCAGGACATTTTTCATCATCGCAAGAGTCATTGTCAAACAGAAGCATCTTAGGCAAGGGGGTGTACCGCATAACGCAGTACATCCTAGCAATGCATCCTTTTTCTGCAATGTGATGCTTCTCGGTGGACGGCTTTTTCTCTGCTGAGCAGGTTTTCTCACCTGAGCAACCTCTCTCCACCGCGCCACGTTTTGTGGCTGGACGGCCCCGTGATCTTCTTGGAATACCCGACTGAAGTGATGTCGGCTCGGCTGACTTCTCTCCTGAGGAGCCATTTGTCACCTTTGTGACCCGCCTGCGGCTTGGTGTCAGACTCACGAAGTCATCACCTTCAGCAAAATGCTGGTCAGGAACATGAGGCCCTTTCTCTCTGGCGCTCATTTAAGCGATCTTCTGACTTTATCTTGAAATAACAAATGAATTCCCAGATTTCCTGCGATTTTCTGGAAAACAGACTGGACACACAGCCCAGAAGGCTGCAGTCTGAATTAGTTCTACAACCAGGATCCAATCTCCTGGTTGTCCATCAAATTTAGCCCTTTTTAAGGACAGCAGAGGTGCGGCAGTGCGGAGCTCAAGTGCTCCACGTCCAACCGCCAGCTCAAAGTCTGGTTTCTCTGGCAACTATCTGTACACAAACGTCATCTTGGGGGCGGGCTTAGGCACTTCAACCAATCAGCGGTTTTATGTAAATTGTACGGCGTTCTATAGCCAAATGATTGGCCCACCACTCTGATGTCATAGCAATGGCGCCTGGGCAGGGGGAGAAGACTTCCTTTTCTTTACTTTTTTTTTTCTTTTAAAGACCAGATTGTACTCAAATTCACAAAGATCCATCCCCAAGGTTCTGCCTCCTCAGTGCTGGCATTAAAGTCATGCATGCCCTACAAGTCTTTCTTGATTAATTCAATCTCCTTCCTGGGACCCTTTCTCTGCCTCAATCACTTGGTTCCTACTCTTCAGTCCTGAGTGCATGGGTGTGGAGAAGCTCTAGGCTTCAGGTTCCTGCAGCCCAGAGGGAGAGGGAGAAAAAGAAGGTCACATCATTGCTAGCCTCTCATAACTGAGGAAGAATAGGACTCTTAGCAATGAAAGATATATCTTGATAGAGGGGACCATTATAGGGGTAGGGAGAACCCTGGTGCCAGGGAAACTCACAGGAATCCACAAGGATGGCCCCAGCTGAGACTCCTAGCAATAGTACAGAGGGTGCCTGAATGGCCCTTCCCCTGTAATCAGATGGATGACTACCTAATTGTCATCACAGTGCCTTCATCCATTTACTGATGGAAGAAGATGCAAAGATCCACAGCCAAGCACTGGGCTCCAGGGGTCCAGTTGAATGAAGAGAAGGAGAAGAGATCATATGACCAAGGAGGTTCAAGATCATAACAAGGAAACCCACAGAGACAGCCGACCCAAGCTTGTCAGCTCATGGATGCTAGACTGACAGATGAGAAGCCTGATTTGGAAAACTAGGCTTTCTGTGTGTGGGTGACAGTTGGATAACTTAGTCTGTTTTGGGGGTACCTAGAATTGGGACTAGGATCTGTACCTGGTGTATGAGCTGACTTTTTGAAACCTATTTTCTATGGTGGATGCTTTGCTCAGCATTGATGTAAGAGGGAGGAGATTGGTCCTACCTCAACTTGATATGCCAGGATTTGTTAACTCTTCATTGGAGGCCTTAGCCTTTCTGAGGAGTGGATGGAGGGGCAGTAGAAAATAGGTGGGGGAAACAGTGGGAGGAGAGGAGGAAGGAGATACAGCGGTTGGTATGTAAAATAAACAAAAACTTAAAAATAAAAAAGGTCTCATTCCATCCTCCCTTTCTCCACTGTCATCAGGATTGGGCCACTTCTGAGTGTGGTAATGAGTTCATTTCCATTCTCCCTGAGAATATAAGAATGATACACTAATCTACTAAACTGTGTGTCTTATAAATTTGCAGATAGACTGAAAGTTAAAAAAAAATGTAAAGGACATAAATTGCAACCTTGACAGTAGAGTGGCAATATAAGTATCAGACAAAATACACGTTAAAACAAAAACTTTACAAGGATAAAGAATGTTCTGTAATGATGAAGGGGTTGAACCATCATGAGGCTGTCACAATCACGAACATGTAATCATCTGAGAACAGAAAAAAACCACCTGAAGCAAAAAGCTACAGAAATACAACAGACCATTCAAAACTACTAATGGGAGGTTTCAATTAGTACTTTCAGCAACAGTTAGAACACTAGAGAGATGGTAAAATATGATAAAAAGTTGAACAACACTAGAACCAAATAATCCTAGGAACACATCTACACAACAATCCACCCAAGAGAAGCAGAATAGACATTTTTCTCAGGTGTATATGGAGCATTCTTTGTTAGATAATACACTGCCAAGAAGAAAAAAATTAAGTATGCTCTTTAACCACAAAGGAATGAAGATAGAAGTCAATAACAAGGAAATTTATGAAAATAAAAATCTGTGGAAATTATCTAGTGTAACAATGTGTAAGAGAAGAAATGAAAAAGGGAAGTTAGAAAATGTGATGAAAACACAACACCTGGTAGAGAATGCCTACAATCCCAGCCACTTGGACAGCAGTCAAAGCAGCAGAACTGAAATTTCAACTACAGAGAAAAAAATCACTGGAAATTTAAAAAGCTCAAATGAAACAAAATATATGAATATCTATAAGTCATTACTAAATTAATCCTTATGGAAAGTTTTAAACTTTGAGTGCCTGTTTAAAAAATACAAGAAAAGGGGACTGCAGAGATGGCACAACAGTTACAGGTCCTTGTTCTTGCAAAGGATCCTACTTTGGTTCCCTCAAGCCATATCCAGCAGTCACAACCATCTGCATCTGTAGCTTCAAGGGATATTGTAACATGACAAACAAAACACCCATAGATTGACTTTGGAGTTCAAGTATAGTTATGGTTAAGTTTCTTTTGATACTAAATGATCTTAATTTAAGTATTAAATTTTTTAAGTTCAGACATAACAAGTAAAATTATAATTTCCTAATCTTATATAGGGGTTACTAATTTATTATGAACTGTAAAGATAATTTAGATGACAAATTATTGGTCAGTCTTGCTCAGTACAAATGTAATTAATTTACAACTTGGAGGGAGAGACCAATTTTTATATCCCATCACACTGTGGCCAATACTAAGCCTAAAGCAAGTAAAAATTGTTTAATGTAAAATAATTTTCAAAATCGTATATATTGTTTATAAAAGACTAAATTCTTGAATGTTAAATTTCCTGCATTGCAGGAAACCCCCAACTCAAGCAGTTCCCTTGGAAAGAGCAACATCCCAGCAGAGTAAGTTGCATGCTAGCTCATTAAAAGATAAGGATACATCATAAGTAAGACCAGCCAGAAGTCTGCTAAGTCTGCTAATTCTGCCTCTGGCTGCATAGGTCTGACCAGCTCTGGCTATATAGGTCAAACCAGAATAAAAAGTACTCCCCTTTATCTAAAAGGTAAATTACTCCTCATGACTCACATAACAGGGGATACCCTCTCTTACCCAGTGAAGGATCTGAGAGTCTACATCCACATCCTAAATGTCTCAAATAACAGGGAAGCAGACAGCAGATGCCTCAATGCATCCTGAATGTCTCCTGAACTGACATAAGAGGATGCTTTGAACAGGGGAACCTTGTACCTAAGCCTACCACCTGACTGGTATGGGACCAACATGCTTCTTAAATTGCCCATGCCCTTTACCCTGGCATCTGATTGTTTCTCTTAGAACAGCTAATTGCACAATCTATTCTCTAACTTCCCATGTTCCCTTCTTACAGGAGGATGACAGATGGATACGCTATCGTCAAAATCACAGCTTTGAGAATTATCCGGATTATGCAAGAGCTACCATTGACAGCTAGTTTTTTATCTGCAGAGTCAACAAATGGTTCTATTAAGTGATATCCCAAATCGCCATGCACAAAACTTAAGTCCAAATGGATCAAAGACCTCAATATAAATCCAGCCACACTGAACCTCT